CCCCTCCCACACACATACACTACCCCCGCCCCGACTCTGCGCACAAAACACACCGACGACCCTGCGCCGCTGCAGAACCTCACCATTGTCAGGTGCGGCGCTGGGCTGCGAGGGCGGGCTTCAACCCAAGGGGGGGGGGGCAGCTGGGCACCCGCACCTTGCTTCCCAGCCGGCTCCCTCCCCGCTCGCAACTCGCCCCCTCGTACTGCCACTGGCTGCTGTGCGATGCCCTTTCGCCCAGGCCTCCAGCGCGTCGCGCGCCGCTCGCAGCGCCCCTGCTCGACGCGGCCAGCCGCCGCTGCGGCGGGCGGGCGTGGTGCGCGCAGGCGAGCCGGCTCCATCCACCCCCGCCCCCCACCCCTCCAACTGCCGGCCGGCAGGCACGAATACAGGAGCAAGTCCTGACCACCACGCGCGCGCGACCACCGCCCGACCCGCGGGCGCTGGCCATTCAAACGACCGCCAGCAGGGCTCCCGGCGCGGGCGCCCCAAGCGTCGGCCCGCCGGCCGCGCGGGCGCAGGGCGCCCGGCCCTCGCCGCTGCTGGAGGGCGCGTCGGGGGCGGATTGCGCCCCCGGTCGCCCCTCCGAGCGCCCTGGTCCGTTTTTTTACTGCAGCTAGGGCCGGGCAGGTCGCAGGCAGGGCGCGCAGACCGGCAGGCAGGGACAGCAGGGAGGCGCCCCCAGGAGCCGCACAAAGGCGCCGGCGACGGGGCGAGTAGCAGCAGGCAGGCAGGGGCGGGGCCGCAGCAGGCCCCGGAAGACTCCCGCGCTTCTCTTCAAATACGCAGCAGGCCCCCGGCGCATCTGTTAACGTGCAGCTTTTGAACACCCCCCGCCCTTGCGCGTCGTCTCTCCAACTTCCAGACATCGGTTTGCGGTACCTCACCCCACCCTGTCTTGCTTTCCCCGGTTTGAGCGGCCGCTGCCGCCGCCGGCGACCGTCGTCCTTTTTTGCCGGCTGTGACAATCGCTAGGAAACGTCCAGCCTCTTGCAACGACTTGAATGCACGACGCCGCTCGGAACAGGCGGCCTCGTCGCGGCGCGCGCCGTGCCGCGCCATGCCGGACGAGCCCAGCTGTTGTCGCGCCAGCCGGACCGACGCCCAGCACCTTCTGCTTGCCGCGCATGCGCGCGTGCGTGTGCTGCTGCATGTGATACCATTGCATCCTGGACCCATGCGCGCGCATCCAGCATGTAAGCTCTCGACAAACACGCCTGCTGTCGCCAGGCAGAGCGTCGAGGGCACTGCTGCCGCTCGTGGCACAGCCGCCGCCCATTTCCCACGCTTCCACGACGCCGCACATGACGGACCACATGGGAGGGATGCGGTGGGCATGGCCGCCTGCCTCCGAAACTCCTGCAGTGGGAACCCAGTTTGGCGGAAACCCCTCGGCCTCCCACGTGATGACCAGCGAGAACTGACCACGGCAGCCCCTTTCTAGCGGCTTGGACGGAAACCATCAAAGGCAGCTTTGCAAGCGCAGGGAGTTCTGCAAGCGCTTGCATATGATGGGCGCTTGACTACGTGCAGCCTGGGTCAACATAACAGGGCAGCGGCCGTGAACACAGGGTGACTGAAAAGGCCGGGTAGAATCTTTGGAGAGATCTTATTCTAGAATAATACCCAAAATAAGTAACATCATGGCACAAGCAGCAATTCCCCGGTTGCTGCCAAATGAAGCTTGTTGGGTCGCTATTACACGTGCAACACAAGGAGAACCGAATCGACGGGCGAGGGGCACAGTTCGCTGGCTGCGCCGTCTGCTGCATGGCCGGCCGCGTGGGCCGCTGGTTGTCCGCGCCAGCTGCTTCACACCGGCTGCCTAGCAGCCAGCAGCAGCGCCGCCTCGAGGCCGTCCAGCAAGGCACCCACCTGTGAGAACGACTGCGGAAAAGAAGGGGGTGTGGACAGGGTCAGGCAGGGATAGACCTGCTGTCAGAGGGGGGGCAGTGCATCATGCATGGTGCAGCAACAGGCGGCGCAGGTGGCGCGGAGGGACGGTCAACACACACACACACACACACACACACACACACACACACACACACACACACACACAAGTGCAGGCGGGCGACGCTGCCTGTACTTCGCTGCGCCTGAGCTGAATCGCGCCTCAAACACTGCTGTCACCTGCTGCAGGCCCGCGAACGTGCAGCCAGCAAGGGCGGCCCCTGGGGCCACCACGCCAGGGGCATCAATCAGGCGCAGCGCGCTGGCCAGCCCATCACCCATGTGCGCCTGCGGCCCTCGCATCGGCTCCGCCATGTCCAGGCACATGCCGACCGCCTCTCCTCGCTGCTGCTGCCGCTGCTGCTGCTGCCGCTGCTGCTGCTGCCGCTCCTGCTGCTGCCGCTCCTGCTGCTGCTCTTGCTGCTGCTGCTGCTGCTGCTGCTGCTGCTCCTGCTCCTGCTGCTGCCCCAGCTGCTGCTGACGTTTTGACACCTCGTGCAGCGGCACCTTGCAGCGCAGCCGCTGCCCCGCCCCACTCAACGCAGCCCCGTGCGCCTTCAGCCGCCGCTGAGTGTCAAAGGACTGCTCCGCCGCACTCTTGAAAGGCAGGTCCCTGTCCAGGTGGGCTGCGCCACTCTGTGCGAGCGCGTCCCATGCGCAATCCTCTGCGTCGTCGCCAAACCAGTCGCCATCGTCCGGGCCTGTGTCGGAGCCGCCATCGCTGGTGGGCTCACCCGGCTCCCCACACCCTGGCCAGGCCGCCTCCACTATTCGCGGCAGCAAGCTGGATTGCCGCGACACTCCCAGCTGCCATCCGCCAGCCGCGCCCGCGCGCCCCAGCAGGGGGCCCGAGCCCTGCTGAGTCGTGTGCGCCGCGCCGCCGCCAGAGCTGTCCTGCGCGGCTGCACGGCGCAATCGCCCAACACCGGCGCCGCCCCAGGCGCGGCGTGGCGCGCGCGTTCGCCAGGCGCTGCTGGGCTCCGACGGCCCCCACAGCACCGCCGAGGCCGCGCACGCCGCCGCTGCCCGCCGGCCGCCCTCGACGCCGTGGCAGCCGCCGTCCTTGCCGCCTTGCGCCTGGCTGCCGTTGCTGCTGTTGCTGCCCCTCAAGCCGCCGCCGTCGTTGTTGGGGCCCAAGCCATTGTCCCGGAGGTCAACAACAAGCGCCCCACCGCCGCCACCGTCCCTCGCCAGCGCGACCCGGACAGCCTCCGCGCCGCGCGCGGTCAGCCGGCAGCGGCGCAGCTCGAGCCGCCGCGGCGCACCGCCAGCGGGTCCGTCAATCAGCGCCGCCGCGAGGTGCAATGCGCCTTCGTCGGTGATGTCGTTGCAATTCAAAACCAGGTCTGTGAGGCAGTAGCTGCCGCCGCCGCCGCCGCCGCCGGCCCCGTCCAGGGCATCGCCTCGCGCCGCCCCCGCTCGCGTCGCAGCAGCAGCACCTCCCTCCCCCCGCAGCCCGTGCACCCAGGCCATCTCTGCAAGTTTGCCCGCCCGCGCCGCCAGCACGCCGGCCAGCAGCGCGGCCGAGGCGTCGGTCAGGCGGCAGCCCGACAGGTCGAGGGAGTGTAGGCGGGGGTGGCCGGCCAGCGCGGGGCGGAGCGCCTGGTGTGGGCAGGCGGCGCGCACAGATTATGGGATCATGGGATCATTGTATCATGTGACTGGTGTCGACGGCAACGTGTCGAGCCGAGCGCCGCTCGGCCTCGACGCCTCGCGACCAAGCACGCGCACCTTCCCCTCCCACAGGGATGCGGGGGCACTGCAGTTGGGCGGAGCCACGGCGTCCCCCCCCCCCCCCCAACGGCCCCCCCCCCCCCCCCCCCCCCCCCCCCCCCCCCCC